TTAATTTTTGGAGTTAGGGCATAAATTCAGCATTGATATTATCGAAACAAAAAAAAGGGCTAATACAAAAAAACAAAACCCAAATCAGTACACCCTTGTCATATTTACTTCAAACTAATTTTTGTATCATAAACTCCCAAATTAATATATTTGTGCCACATTTACTACAAAATGTACACTCATGTTACATTTACCCTAAACAAATTTTTCTGGTACATCCGTGCCATATTTCCCCAAAATATGACACGAATATACAAGTTTACGGTTTTTTAAGATACAAAAATTAATTTTGGGTAAATGTGGCATGGGTGTATTAATTTGAGAATTAGGTTTGGGTAAATGTGAAGAATGGCACACCTCATCTAACATATCACGGTGAAGCTTGGTTACAGAGGCACCTCTTCCTAGCTTTTCTGCAAAACCATAGGCAATATAGGTCTTCGGTCTCATGTCTGGCTTCAAGCCATTTTGTAGTAACTTCACAACCAGATTGAGGAAGCTAGATCGATGGTCGGTATAGGCATGAAATGGTAGTGCAGCTATGAACTCAAACTTGTCTGAAGAAGTCTAGTCCTTTAACTTTAGCATCTCAGGCAAAAAGTTAGCATATCTTTGTCACTCTGAGTAACCTTTGAAGAATTGGCATGTGCTAATGCCGGTCAATTAAGTTGCGATAAACAAAACATTCTAGGTATGATAAAAGATGATATTAAATGCATGAAATAGAAAAAGATGAGGAGAAAAATATGATATGATTGTCAATACTTTCAGTTCAAAAGCGTCGTAGAGTGTTGAGTGGTTGAAGGCGATGGAAGGACACATATATGGTGAATACTTAATAAATTTTCCTAAAACAATATCTCTAAATATCTCTTACAAATTATAAGAATCCTAACTATATGAACGAGTAATATTATGTCTTTACATGTTATTTGAAAACCAAAGAAGGATAATAATATTTACATCGAAAAATTTTGAACGAGAAGCTAAATCTATATTTTGACATAATGTATGCCACATTACCATGGGTTCACAGCTCAAACCAAGGGTCCGCTCTAGGACATTTGAAGAATGACAAGTTCACCTTTAACCCAGTGACTTCAGAAGTATGGAATCTCCTCTTCATCCAAAATTGCACTTAATGTCGGACAAAACAAGTAATTGTCAGCAGCGGACGTGCAAGTAAGGAAATGAAGTTGCAAATATAAACGAGAAATAATAAAAAAGGATTTTCTTTAAAAATATCTATAAAATACTAGAGAATTAAATGAGGAATTTAAAGCCACCCGAGGTGGGTGCTAGACAAGAGTTTTTGATATACAATCAACATGCGCAACGTATAAATTCCCCCATTTCCCTATTCCCACATTCAAATTGGTCAAGTTCAAAAAAAATAAAGGATAAAAATCGAGGAGTATTGCTAAGAGTTTACTAAAAAGATGAAAAAAAAGGGAAAATGACATAAATAGTCCCTGAACTTTGACCCAATGTGCAATTTGGTCCCTGAACTTTTAATTTGTTCAATGTAGTCCCTGAACTTTAACCTAATGTTCAATTTGGTCCCTGAACTTTTGATTTGTTCAATGTGATCCCTGAAATTTTAATATGTGTTCAATTTAGTCCTTGAACTATTTGAAAATGTTCAATATAGTCCTTCCATTAATTTAAGTGCAGGGACTATATTGAACATTTTCATATAGTTCAGGGACTAAATTGAGCACATATTAAAAGTTCAGGGACCACATTGAACAAATCAAAAGATCATGGATCAAATTGAACATTATGTTAAAGTTCAGGGACTACATTGAACAAATTAAAAGTTCAGGGACCAAATTGCAAATTAAGTCAAAGTTCAGGGACTATTTGTGTCATTATCCCAAAAAAAAAATACTGGCTTATATATGGGCTTGTTAACGAGTTTTATATGGCCTCGTGGCTCGTTGGGTTGGTTCATTATTTTTCCGTGCTTTTACAGTGGCCCTCTCTTGCCTTTTTTGGCTGGTTCAAGTTTGAAGATATTTAATTAATTTAACCATAAATATTTATTGTTATATAGGTTATTTGTTATTCGGCCGTACTTTTGGCGCGGCCCACTTGGCTTTTTTGGCCTGTTTAAGTTTGAAAATGTTTGATTATTTTTGTAATATTGGTTTTTTTGACTTGATCAAATGGCAGCAACCAAAAAAAAAAAAAAAAGAGAGAACTCTTGGTTGGTCAAAAGAGGAGGGGATGAGGAAAATAAAACGCGGAAAGGAGTAAAAAAAGGGGCACATACAAAATAGAGAAAACGGAGAAGAAAAGGAGCAATAAGAAGAAAAGAAATCAAGCATAGACACAACTCAGAAACTTCGCCAAGTTGGATTTAAAAGACTATCTAAAAAATTTGATCTTACTTGGTTAATGGAACTAAACGTAACAATTACTGTCAATCAGATAGGGGATCGAAGCCTAGACAATGGTCGATGATTGAAATCAATACCGGTGGGTGAGCTTTAAGCGGAGATTAGAGCTCTCCAAGCTTTTCGGCCGCGGAACAGGGCTAAACCGAACAAGGTTGGGACAACAATGGAATGGCTATGAACGATGACGTTGGTTTCTTTGACGGACTAATAACTCAAGAAATCAAGAGTAACAATTCTCAATCGCTCTTGGAACTAGAGTTTTTCTTTCTTCTTTTTTTGTTTGGGTGAACTCGCACTTTGTAGCTTAGACCAAACGGAATTGGCTAGAATAGGGCGTAGGTTCAAAGATGATGACGGACCGCTGTAAACGATGTACGACTGTGATAGATGGCGACGAATAGCGTGAACACGGTGACCGGAATCGGAGTCTACAACTAATCTTCAACCAAGAATTCAAGCTTTTCAAAGCTTTTGGTTCACAAAATAGAGGAAAACAGAGCTTTGCAAATTGCGGCTACGAGGCTTTTTCAATAAAATCCGAAGTTTCTAAATTTCAATTTTCCAATATGAAGTTTCTGAAAAAAGATTAGAAACTAATTAAATTATAAATTTTTGGTCAAAGGTTTAAATTCATCGGTTTGACAAAAAAGTTAACATTTTGGCCACTTTTACGAAAATTTAAAATCTAAAGGGCTAATTCTACGCGCCTATGCTAAATTAATACTTGCATGAAACAAAGGTACTAAGGACAATAATCTTTTTCTTTTGGTCAAGAAACAAGACTCGTTGCAATCAGAGATCTCAAATCTTGAATTTTCTAATTTTGACTGTCGATTTGTGCCAAAAAAAAAAAACTTTGATTATCGGAAAAAATCAATTGTCAATAAAATGGCTCTGTTATCGGTGTTGTTGTATGGTTTAAAGTGTTAATTAATGGCGTATTAGTTAGATCAATTAAAAGAAATCAAACCGGTCAAAAATAACTAGCTCAGAAACTTGTCAAGGTAAATTTGTAATTTCACAACGGTAGGGACTAATATGCCAAAATTGGAAATTCTAGTGGCTTATATGATTAGAAACGTCAACGTAATTAAGTTAATAATATTTTTTAATTTAGATAATTCATCTAACTAGTCAAAATTTCGACGTAATTGCTTTAAAAGTGGGATGTTTTGGTAATTTTATAAGATTCATGTGATGTCTGTACTGTAAATAAAATATTCATGTGTCTTTGATAGCAAATGAATGGCCTTATGTACTTGATTCAATTTGTATAGCTTGATGAAGAGAATAATGGAAGGTTAAGGGTAAAGAAAATGTAGAAGGAACAATTTTGTAGAGGCAACTATGTAACTTTGGAATCTAGAATTATGTGAAATTAGTTTTAATTTTTATGATTATGGTAAATTTATTCGTGATTCGGTCTTAGTAATGAAACTATATGAGTTAACTAAAGTTAAGGCACAATAATAACTTTATGAGGTAGTCAAATTATTTGGAAAAAACATGGGATAGATGCACCAAAAGACCTAAAATTTATTTCAAAAGTCCTTTTAAAAAAAACGTAATCAAGTCATAAAACTTATTAAATTTGTAAAATCAAGTCCATTCGTTAGTTCCGTCCAACTCGGCTGACATAAAAAAAAGGCTGATGTGATTTTTCTTTTCTCCCATTACTTTCTCAAGACATGCATCTGCGTGCATTCACCAAGCGCCACATAAAGTAAAACTTGAAAATTTGAAAAAGAAAGAAGAAACAAACCTTGTTTAACCCATTCTTATTCTCACATACTTCGACCTTCACCATTCCTCCCCCACAGTCTCTGTGAACAATCTTTATAATATCCAGTTCAAACCTGTCTTATCACGAATGATCTGACCAACAATGCTAGTTTTTCCAATTGCTCCATCCTCTCATTCATCACTTCATCGCGAGGCTTAACAACTGATCGACCAACAACGCTAGGTTTTTTTTTTTTCCCTGATGTGGTGCTTGGTGAACGCTGCATCGTTATCACGTGTTTTAAGAAAGTAATAAAAAAAAAATTTATTAGCATTTTCCATTAGCCAAATTGACGGAAGTAACGGAGAGACTTTATTGCACAAATTTGACAAGATTTGATCTTGATTGCACTTTTTGAAGGTTTCAAGATTTGATTACACTTTTGTGATAAATTTTAGAACTTCTTATTCGCTTATCCCTACTAATTTTATGGCTTCAACTAGAGCGGGGCATCTGATTATTGATTTAGAGGAAAACTCGATCCAATTTATCTGTGAAAGTTACGTAGGTCATAGTAGATTTTTGGGTCGGGTCGTTTTAATGATGTTTGATTAATCTTGGATATGAATGAATTTCAAGGTTTCCTACTTTATGGCGAAAGCATATGCTAAATAGAATAGGAAACTGAACCGCGAATGTGCATTGGTTGTATGATTCTATTTCTTAGTAAAATCACATGATCGATGCAGTGACATATCTATCGAAATTAAACTTTTGAGAATACTACATCCCACTTTTTGTGTAAAAAAATGTAAGTTAGAATGTCATTACGAGCATCGAAACTTATTCGCGATCCTCACAGACAGAAACCGATATAGGGAGCCAAGCCATAGTCATTATATATGAAGATTAGATCACACAACTCGTAAACTGTGCAATAATAGGGACCAAAATTGACATCGCGTGTACAATTCCACCCGAAAACTCGGCAGAGATAACCTCAGAGTGACGAGAATTCATCGTGCATTTTGTAAGAAGACAACATAAACTTTTACAGAAAGCACAGACAAGGACTATATTAAGAACAACACGATGCAGCCGCCGTCCTTTCAGCAGGTCTCTCCATGAGAACCATTCCCGAACGGGTTCGGTGCTGGCTGAACTCAGGGTAGTCTCTTAGCTCTGTATCCACGAAAAATAACAGTAAGATATACGGCACGGACAAAGTAAGAAAACGTGCACCAGAAAATTTGGCAGGAACATTTGTCATAGAAGATATCATAGATAATTCGCTGTAACCACCATCCTCGGTTGAGAGCAGAGACAAACTACAAGCAATATCCAAATTCGCAAACCTAATAACGCAGTTCGCAGCATGCAGTATCTACAGCAAAGACAAGTACAATTAAATGAAAACCAGTCAATGCAATGGCGTGCATGACATGAAATATGCATTCACAAGACTAATACATCGACGAGACAATTATACCTAACTCGTAGAAAATGTCACCAAAATTTGCAGCAGTTTTTGCAGACGTTTCCATAAAGAAGAGACCATGTTCTTGGGCACATGTTTCCTGCAGTAAAAAGGGCTAGACATGAGCAATTTATAGAGGACAACAATTGAAAGTGTGTTTCATTAACGTCCTAGTCCTTAATTAACAATCTGGACTATACCTACCCTTCATTTCAGATAAACTCTCCTTTGACTGTTATCTATTATAGAGATAATTAATTAAAACCTTTATACTTGAGAAGTAGAGAGAGAGAGAGGGAAAAGTGTATTCTGTATTAACCAGTAGTGTCTAATACATATACCAAAAATAAGACCTAAAGGTCCTAAGGACCACTTTACCCTTTTACTACTTCTAACACTCCCCCTCAAGCTGGAGCATAGATATTAATCATGCCCAGCTTGTTACAAATATATTCTATCCTCCCATTACCCAAAGGTTTAGTAAAAATATCTGCAAGTTGTTCACCGGTTCGAATATGATTGGGAATGATCATTCCACTCTGCAACTTTTCCCGAATAAAGTGACAATCAACCTCAATGTGTTTTGTTCTCTCATGAAACACAGGGTTGGAAGCTATATGCACTGCAGCTTTATTGTCACACCATAGAGTCATGGGTACCGAAGCTTTGAAGCCTATCTCGCCAATAACTATTGAATCCACACTAATTCACATGTCACTTGTGCCATGGCTCTATATTCTGACTCGGCACTCGAGCGTGCAACAACATTTTGTTTCTTACTCTTCCATGATACTAGATTTCCTCCAACCAAGGTACAATAGCCAGTAGTTGATCTTCTATCATCTGGAGACCCTGCCCAATTAGCATCAGAGAATCCTTCGACTTTGCTATGACCATGATTTTGGTAAATAATTCCTTTTCCTGGAGTCTTTTTCAAGTACCTCAATATCCGAATAACTGCATTCCAATGAGATGTACGAGGAGAAGATAGAAACTGGCTTACCACACTTACTGGAAAGGCAATATCTGGTCGAGTGACTGTGAGATAATTCAGTTTTCCTACCAGTCTCCTATATCTCTCCGGGTTATCAAGAGTTTCTCCTCCCTCAGCAGCTAGTTTGACCCCTTGTTCCATGGGTGAATCAAGAGGTTTTGATCCCAACATACCTGTCTCATTAAGCAAATCCAGTACATATTTTCTTTGTGATAGAACAATACCTTTATGTGACTGAGCAACTTCAATTCCTAGGAAATACTTCAATTTTCCTAAATCCTTGGTCTGAAACTGTTGATGAAGATAAATCTTTAGTTCAGCTATACCAGTCAAATCATCTCCCGTGATGATAATATCATCAACATACACAATCAAGAACAATTTGCCTCCCCGTGACTGTTTATAAAAGAAAGAATGATCATTTCCACATCTAGACAGTCCAAAAGAAAGTACAGCATCAGAAAATCTTCCAAACCATGCTCGTGGGGATTGCTTCAAACCATATAAAGACTTCCTTAATTTGCAAACCATAACCCCAGACTCCCCCTGAGCAACAAACCCTGGAGGTTGCTCCATATAAACTTCCTCATGAAGAGTACCATGCAAGAAGGCATTCTTAACATCAAGCTGAAATAAAGGCCAGTTATATGTGGCAGCAAGGGATATCAAAATACGAACAGAAGTAAGTTTGGCAACAGGAGAAAAAGTGTCTAGATAGTCAACTCCATAAACCTGAGCATACCCTTTTGCAACAAGTCGTGCTTTTAAACGAGCTTCGAGAACCATCGGGATTGACTTTCACAAAGAAATATCCAACGACAACCAATAGCAGCTTTGGCTGAAGGAAGAGGTACCAAGTCCCAAGTCTGATTAAACTGGAGAGCCATTAGTTCTTCTTCCATTGCTGTCCTCCAGCCAGAATTTTGTAATGCTTCAGATACAGATTTGGGGATAGGATATTGGTCCACAGTAGATAGAAAGGATCGAAAAGAACGAGAGACAGAAGAATATGAGACGAAGTTTGCAATGGAGTGTTGAGTACAAGTACGTGTACCTTTGCGATGAGCAATAGGAAGATCAAGATCAGATACAAGAGGAGGGTCAACTAATGGCGGATCCGGAGTCAAGATGACGTAGTAGTGTCATGAGCAAGGGGGAAATAGTAGCTACTCGAGGACGTCGAGTATAAACCCGGAGAGGAGGTGGTTCCCGTGTAGAGACCCGTGAAGTAGTTGGAGCAGTGTGACCGAAGGGTAGTCACATAGAAGTCTTCATCAAACTCGAAACGTAAATTGGAACATCATGATAAGGCGTGGATTCGAAGAATGAAACATCGCCAGCTATAAAGTATTTTCTCGCAATGGAGAATAACAACGATATCCCTTTTGAGTACGAGAATAACCTAAAACATACACTTGATAGCCTTGGGATCAAGTTTTGATACTCCGTGTCGATGATCACGAATAAAACACAGACACAACCAAAAATACGGGCGGTAAGACAAACAAGACACATTTGGAAACAAAGTAGAAAAAGGAATACCACCTCGCAAAATGTAAGAGGGCATGCGATTGATGAGATAGCATGCAATTAGAATAAGATCACACCAAAAGATTTTGGGAACCTTCATTTCAAACAACATGGATCTAGTAACATCCAATAAGTGTCTATTCTTTCTTTCAAAGAACACCATTCTGTTGTGGTGTATCGTGACAGGGAAGATTCATGGATCATACCATGTTGAGTCATAAAGTCAGAAAAAGGTGCAGAAAAGTACTCTTTAGCGTTATCAGAACGCAAAACTTTAACCTGCACACCAAACTGAGTATGAATTTCATATACAAATGCACGAAATATAGAAAACAATTCTGAACGATTTTTCATTAGATATAACCATGTTACCCTGGAATAGTCATCAACAAAAGTAACAAAATATCTGAAACCCAGATTAGAAGCAACATGACAAGGACCCCAAATATCTGAATGAACTAACAAAAAAGGGGACGCTACTCGTTTAATAACTCGTGGCGGGTAACTAATACGATGTAATTTGCCCAGTTGGCATGACTCACACTCTAAACTAGAAAGGGATCCAAAACTAGAATCTAACTTCTGAAGGCTACGTAGAGAAGGATGACCAAGTCGACAATGGATCTGATGTAAGGATGCAACACTAGGACATGCAATGGGAGGAGCGTCTTCAAGTACATACAACCCCCCTGCCTCATGTCCTCTACCAATCGTCCTCTTCGTAGCCAGATCCTGAAAAATACAAGAATCAGGGTAGAATGTTACTGAACACTGAAAGTTTTTGGTTAATTTACTGACAGACATGAGGTTAAACGGAAATTGAGGAAGATAAAGGACTGAGGACAATGGCAAGGAAGGAGTTGGATAAACTGTGCCAACCCCCTTAACATGTGTAGATGATCCATTGGCTATGGTTACCTTGGATGAAGATGAAGTAAGAGAGGAAAATATACCTGAAAGACCCGACATGTGGTCAGAAGCCCCTGAATCAATGATCCAAGGACAAGAAGCAGCTGAAAGGCATGTAGTCGCATTACCTGTCTGTACCAAAGTAGCAGTGGAAGAAGCAGGCTGTGAAATCTGAGACTGGGTGTACCGTGCAAACTCTTCATCAGACATAACAACTACCTTGCCTTCAAGACCATGGAGAAGAATCGCACTGGAAGATGTGCAAACCGTTGTTGCCGCACCGATCTTCCATGTAACTTATAACAGAATTTTTGAATATGGCCAGCTTTCCCACAGTAATGACAAGTCCGTATGGCCCCTGAGTTGTTAGTAGACATGTGCTGTTGGCCTTGGCCTCTCCCTGGTCCTTCACCTCGGCCTCCTCCTCGGCCACCACGTCCACTATATCCTCCGCGATTTCCTCCATCACTCCTGCTACCGCTACCCGATCGAGATTGGAACACAAGAGCTGAACTATCTGCCATAGGTGTAATATCTTGAGGAGACTCACGAGATACCCGAAGTACCCGAGCAAACGTATCCGTGAGTGATGCGACAGCCTCTCCTCCAAGAATCTGAGACCTAACAGTTTCATATTCAGGACCAATGCCTGCTAGATACACCATTACAGCCAATTGTTCTCTTTGAAGTTGCATTTGCTGAATATTGGCTGAAATGGGAAGAATAGCATTCAACTCCTCATACATTCTCTTAAACTCAAAGAAAGTATTGCGTCATAGACGTCCCTTCCTTTCGACTCGGTAAAACTCCCGCGATAACTCATAAACTCGTGACAAGTTATTTTGGCCTAATATAATACATTCAAATAGTCCCACATTTCTTTGACCGTGTCAATATGAGTTACTAGATCAACTATATTATTTTCCATAGAGTTTAACATCTGACCAAGGATGCATGCATCAACAATATCCCAATTTGCATCATCTTCGGGTTTCGGCTCAGTTATGTGTTTAATCTGATTCCTGCCTGTCAAAGTAAGCTTCACAATTTTCTTCCATTGATGGAAGTTAGAACTCCCCACAAGCTTCTTATCGCAATTCGATTAGATGAAGACGACATCACCTCGCCATCACAGATTATTCCTCTCTAATCACCCATCCTTCAATATCCCAAGAGACCGTATACCGGCTCCCAAGCCTCGTCAACGTTACCAGCCTTCCTCCACAACTCCACCAATCAATAAACCATAACCCGATTAATCAAACATCCATAATCTAACGTCTAACAACCAAGCAATCTAACCCGGCGTATTGAAGAGCGACAAAAGCAAGCAAGGCAACAACAGCAAGCATAGTCCAAAGAACAAAACCACTGCAGGCAACTATGAAAAGGCTAAGAACACCTTCCCGCCAACTTGAAATCCATCTTGAAGAATTTTCATTTGCTTGTCATTCCATCGAGAGACAATAACACATGCTGAAACTACGGCGAGTTTCACAAATTTCTTGCATAAAGCAATTTCGGAGGAACAGAGGAACAAAGGAGGAACAGAGGGGAGAGACCTTCGAGACCTTCAGCTCATGGAGAGACCTTCGCTCACATCAATGGCGAGGAAACCTCCAATCACCAGGCTCGCGTGACTCGCTCGACCTGAATCGCGCGAGCTGGAGCCCCGCGCGAGCTGGGTCGCGCGGCTGGAGCCCCGCGCGAGCTGGGTCATGCGAGCTGGAGCCCGGCGCGAGCTGGGTTGCGCGAGCTGGAGCCCCGCGCGAGCTGGGTCGCGCGAGCTGAACCCCGCGCGAGCTGGAGCCCCGCGCGAGCTGGGTCGCGCGGCTGGAGCCCCTCGCGAGCTGGGGTCGCCGGAGACGGGTTGTTCCGGCGACGGCGACGGCGCCGGCGACGGGTTGTTCCGGCGGCAGCGGCTAGGGTCGAGGCTCTGATACCATGAGAAGTAGAGAGAGAGAGAGGGAAAAGTGTATTCTGTATTAACCAGTAGTGTCTAATACATATACCAAAAATAAGACCTAAAGGTCCTAAGGACCACTTTACCCTTTTACTACTTCTAACAATACTGAACTAAAACTCAGTCGCATGCACGTTGTCAACGATGCCATCTGTCAACTTCCTTCTCATGCCTTGCCTATTGACAGTGAGCTCAACAAGGTTAGACTAGGCTAACTTAAAACGTAGCTTGTCTTGCAATTGAGCTCCGAAAAAGTCGGTCATCTCCGTAAATGACAATGACCACTTTAAATTGTAGTCAATTCAGATCTTAAAAAACCAATGGGGACCCTCATTCTTCGCTCTCGGTTCACATGTTCACTCTAACTAACCAACTCAAATCACGTCATTTTCATGCCAGCAATTTGCGATAGTTTTAAGTTTCCACCTTGAGGGGTTAGAATTCATCAAGTTCCACCTTTCATTTGGAGTCCAGAATGCATATAGGGAGACCCCAAGGACACGAATAAGCATAAAAAGCAGCACAATCTCCCTATCTTCAAGAAGGATAAAATGTCAAAAGACTAACTCCCCTTTCACACATCTTTATCCAATAAGATGAGTTCTGTAGAGGACTGAAGGCTTGGACAGGCATCAAACTGTGCAAAGACAAACACAAGTATCCACAAAGATACCTCTTACGACATTTTGGCTACAGAGAAGGGAGAGGAATAGGAGCTTGATCATGAGTAGACAGTGAATTAAAAGAAGTCTTGGTTCTTCCCAATTGATTTCTTCTCCAAACAATGCATGTGATTGGAAGAGGTAGATATCCTGCATCTAGCGGACACTGAGGTAGGCACCCCCTTATTGCTACCTCAATGAAATTGCACTTTCCTTCTGATCAATGAAAACATAATTTTGGAGGGAACAGAAGCAATCATCTCAAAAGCAATGAAGGAGGAAAACTGTAATTACCTCAGCTGTAACCTTCTGGGCATCCAACAACTCTGTTTTATTTCCAGCGAGATCCATAACCATGTTAGGTTTACCTTTGACAAGAATGGAGACAACTAGTTAGCTCAAAACTAACCATGAAACTATTGTAAGATTATATAAGGATCTTGCTGAAGAAAGATAAGGAGGTCCCATCCAAACATCTCCACAAAAAATTACAAAATGATCGTGCATACCTGCACCGCAAGGTCATAGTAAATATAAAAAGAAATGTCTCTTTTAACACATGAGAAGGAGAACTAAAAGTAGATAGCATATCTGAGATCAAGAAGTTTAAAAATTCTACCTACTTAGAATCCACAAAACATAAATAAAAGTGAATGCCAACAGCAAAGCCAAACAAATAACTATAACACAGAAGTTAAGAAAAAGGATTAAATCACTAACCTGTGCTTGAAGTTCTTGCACCCACTTTTTGCTCGCTCAAATGATGCCTACAAGCAAGAAAACAGTCTTGACATTATGCTAGCAAAATATCTAAGCCAAAAGAAAACACTAAGCTGCAGAGCACCGAAGCAGATGCAGAACAGTAAAGGATAAATTCACTAGATACCTGAATAGATCTTCAACAATGCAGAGAAATAAAACCATATTTGAACCCATCATATGTTATGTCATACACACAATCAGATCACCTTCAAATAGAAGCCTGACACTCAGGTAAGTATGAGCAGAGAGAAAAAGTGAAGCTACATTATAAAGGCATACAAGTAATTAGCAAGAGGAACCAGTAATGTCATGCAAAGGCATAGGTCAAATGGGTCCTTTTTTTAGGATAGTGGGGACTTCCCTCCTTTCCCCAAGCTTAAGGTTATAGAGTGGACAATCCAGGTTATATATCCTGTAAATATTATGCTAGGGAGTGCACAGTGACAAGATAAACCGTAAGAAAGTGGGGAAAACATCTTAAGAAGGAACATTGGATCATGCATCATGATTAGAATAATACATTAACGACCAGTTTCAAGTTTATCCTGTGGAAGAAAGAGAGTAAATCTTCGACAAAGACAGTTAAAGTTTACATCAACATAAACAAGCACAACAATATAGTATGCACCTAATACAGATATGCTTAAAACAAGTTCACTTGTGACGCAAGATCATTTAAATGCAATGCTGATATCAAAGAGCAGAATAATAGCGATGCCACAGGAAGGAGAATATATCGATTAAAAGAGTGGCTACACGGATAGGATCTCCCAACAATATCATCAATTACACAAGACTGCCAGTGTTCAATGTCTTAAATTTATTATAAGCCGCTACCTGCCAAGCTACACAGCAAGAACAAAAAGCACTTTCACAACAAAAACCAAACAGTTAATCACAACTCCAACCCAACAAAGGTCAGCCAGGCCTCTAGAGAAGGATAAATCGGTTCACTCTTTGATATTTCCACAGAGAACTCATACCATGGGAGCAACTATTTCAATTTAATAATATGTAATGACCTCAACAGGACACAAACTTGTACGTGAGAAGTTGATGAGGGTTCCCAAGAATCAAAAGTTGAGGACCAGCACATGCAACTCCACTATCAGAAAATGAACATCTTTTGAAAACGGAAGTACCAGAATGCTAAAATTGAAGGCCCAAAGAAGCTGATTCACATATTGCATGCATTCTCTTGTAGTGGAAACTATTACTTCGCAAAAAGATCTCTTGCCACAGTAAGATTTCCCAATTAGCAACTTCATACAGCATCAGAGCCAATAATTGGTTTCTTGTTAGTTTCACTTACCAGGTTTGTCATGTTACACAAAATGGCAGCTCCTCTATAGTACATAGGTGCCAAGCTGTGGTATTTCTATTGACCAGCTGTATCCCAGATCTCAAACTTTACAGTTGCATCATTTACGGCCAAAGCTTGAGAAAAGAAGCCAGCGCCGATGGTGGATTCCTACAACATCAGAAGTACTTTATAGTCAAGATACTTTGGTAAAAAGAAACAAAATCAGCTGAAAATCATAAATCGATAATCTAGTTTTGTGAACCTGAAATTCAACGAACTGGCCTTTAATAAACCGCAGTACTAAGCTAGATTTTCGAGCTCCAACATCTCCAACAAAGACCTAATGTACGAAAAACAACAGGCAAACACAGAAGGTTGGATAAAATAAGCAATTAGCTTGTGTAGAAGCACAGAAAAAATAGATCATAATACTGCATTGTAACCATTTCAAGTTAATGCAAGCATGAAGACATAAGGAAATATATATAGAGGTTATCCACAAGAGCCCCTCAATTATCCAGCATTCTGGAAGTATAGAACTCCAAGCACCAAAGAGACAAAGCAAGAAATGATCACACAACAATTTCGTGTCAAATTTTTAAGTCCAATAGACTGCATACCACTCACAGCGTGCAAAATGAAGCAAACCCTGTTTAATATAATTAAGCAACAACTCATATTACAGAACAGAGAAGCTGCAATATGAAGACTCCCAAGGACATTATCACAGCTCGAACACAAACTACCAGAGAGCAGCAAAACAAATTGCTCCATAAAGGCTATCTTAAAAGGAGAAATTGACAGTCAGAGGCCAAGTAAAACGAACCCTTCCTCATTCAAGTCATATAAAGCCCAAAGGGTGAAGCAAAAGGCCAACAAGCGAACAGCGAGGAGGTTCTGACGAAAACAATCGCAAAAGGCATCGCATTCCAACCGAAAGAACGTATAGAGCGAAGCATGCACACTTCAGTTCATCCTAACCCTAATCCTGAAATTACCCAGCGAAAGCATACCCAAGCAGATCATCACAACATCAAGCTTATTGCTACTGATTGGATGATTAACATGGAGGAAATTCACAACCGAGAGGAGCTATAATCCCCACCTGAAAAAGCTCTCCAGCTCCAACCCCTCGTCCCTCGACGAACCAGCTCGTTCCACTCCCCCCGTTCAGCAAGTAGCTCTTCGTCGAAGATGCCCCAGTAGCAGAACGCAAGCCGGTAATCAGCGCCGGTGCCCCACGGGCCACGTCCCCTCACGACGACTTCCGTCACCTCCCCTCCTGTCGACCCGCCTCGACCATCTCAACCCTCGTCCACCGGAGCACGTGGGTCTTCTCGCAGCCCCGCGAAAGGAGGAGCCGCCGCAAGTACACCCAAGGTTGCAGATCGGAAGCAGGGAGCTTGATATGTCCGTAATTCAAAAGGGTTTATATAAATTATAAAAGAGCTATTTTTTCTTATTGCGAGAGTAAAACATGTTGCCTCGGGAAGAGGAAGATCTCCCATTTCCACTGTCAAGCAGGAAAGGGAGCTCTTTTCCCGATGCTGCAGGAGATATATGGGCAATGCAAAGGTGACCGCATGCACCACCCAAGTCCTCGTTTTGCAGTTTGGTAATCGTAACAATGGTGGTCATCTCCGGAAATGGTTGTCTAGTGGGTTCGTCGAGATATACTATTTATAGATGTAATGGGTTCGTCTGTGTATGCATTTGGATGTTGTGTTTTCTATAGAGACACGCCTTCTGCTAAATAGTGACTGTACTAATCCACGGAGCGACTTTCTTGGGACAGAAGCTCTTGTTGCAGCTTCTGACTTCGTTGAAGTGTGCTCTAGAAAGAGACTTGGTACATATGCTAGACCCATTTCCCTCCTCACTTCATCATGCCTTGTGATAAGCGTGAGATTGCCAGTTGATACAACTAAGATAAGGAACTGGGATTAGTTTGCGCGAAAGAGAGAGAAAAGATGCCTTTTTCTCTTGTCACGCCTCTCAAGACAGAAGAAAAAGGCCACTGGACACAAACTTGAAACTAACCCTTCCAAAACACAGACACAACAAATCTAATTTGGCAGCCACCAAGTTTTAGCAGCATGTTATATGAGCCATGTGGTCTGAAAACAAAACATATCTGCGAACAGAAAAACATCAGGAGGATGAGATCGACTCTGATTCACTTTCTCTGGATTCAGACACTGGGATTGCTTCCTGAAAATTTAAAGTTCATGTAAACAAGCATGAATGTTATGATCATTTGGAAGATATCCCGCCAGAAGGCACTCTGTACACTGGCCAGAATACTTCCGATCTCAGAAACGAAATTGCTAGAACAGCTAAGCTTGACAATCTCAATGGTAAACTAAATTCAAAGGGAATAGTGACTGGTAATAATCCATTGCAAGATTGGCATACAATGCACAAGACAATGAAAAAGGATGTCATGTGTGAGACCAGATTGGACCGTGTTTCATCGCTGAGCAAAAGCTGCTCTTTTCTTGAGGTAGACAGCTTAAAAGCCTCATCCCTCCCTTATCTATATGCCGGGATACGAAGTGTAAGAAAATCTTTTGTATCTTTAGGACCAGGTGACTTCTTCATATTGATGAAATATGGACATGCCAGATAATTGAAATTTACCATAATCAACTTTGCCCACTCTAAGATATCACCACAGTGAAAACTCGCACAAGAAAAATAGACGTGGAACCGGGCTTCAAAAGAAGCACTACCAAGAATTGAATTTCAGAGGAAGAAATGAGAAAGTTTGATTGCATACAATAGAATTCCATCACTAACATCCTTTTCTAGAGATCAAAAATTTTCCTGTTGGTCACCTAACAAAAACAATACTAATTCAAGGTTAAGTCTAATTCGCCTTGTGAAGAAGGCTAAAGTGAAACTTGCTAGCACTAGGATCCCAATATATCCCGATCTCATCACCAGCCGCCAACCTCCTCCGTTTCGCAAATTCCTTGATCCAACCACCCTTGAAGACGTAGGACCCAGATGATGCCCAGAACACGAACACCAGTTGATGCTCCGAGCATGTGTCCGCGTCCCTCATGATGACGTCGGCCCCCTTGCCGCTCTCAACTTGCCTCACTATCTCCTCGCTCATCCATCGGAGCAAGTGGCTCGTCACAAAGTCCCGCCCGATCAAGAGCCTCGACAGGTGGCCGAGATCGCTCTGTGTAAGCTTCTTCTTGATCTTATAAGGGTCGTAGAGCAGCACCAATTCTGTGGAAACGCCATTGCGTCTTTCATCCTCTGTATCACATCCTGAGGCCTCTTTCTTCTCCTTTTGCGTTCTATTGTACTTTGGCTTCTTCTCAACAATTAAGGTTTCAGCGACCGTAGGTGAGGCCACGGATTTTCGCTTCGGTTGGGCGGGAACGATTTCTTGACGAGGGCCACCGACTTCCTTCCTGTTCTGATCAGGAGTGAGGGGGAAGAATTCGCGAGCCACCACCACTCCTGGGGATGAAATTTCTCTGGCCCCTTCGTCGCAATTCTTCTCCTGATCGTGCAGATAAGAAACACGCCACCAAGAGCCCGTCAACGGCGGCAAGCGGACCACGCCTCTCAGGTGGTCGCCAATGGGTTTCTCCTTGTGATCGCGCAGATGCGAAGAACCCATGAACGGCGGCGAGTGGACCTTGCCTCTCGGGACGTCACCAATGGGACGCGATTTGGGGCCGAAGAAATCGATGAGCTTCATGGGTTTTCGGTGGAAGAAACAGAGGAGGGCTACGCAAGAACAACAGAGGGCAACACGGTGCAGAGGAATTTAGAGAGCGAGCTAGAGAGAGAAGACAACAACGTTGGAGAGAAGAGAAAGAGGCGAGGACATAGACACCGGAGGCAAGAGAGGGTTTATATAGTTTACCGTTGGAATTGAAATGGGGAGCGACGTCATCAATCTCCGCAGTCAAGTTTCGAGACTGCCACCGAGGAGTGTGGAATACTTTCCTAATTTGAGTCAGGTTAAGATTAGCGCATGTGAGGGATTAACAAAATAGGAAATATTTTCAAGATTCAAGATTGATTTTCCTACGGAAATTTAATAATGTCACAAATTCTGTAATTATATAAATAATGAGTTGGAGATAATTTCCCGTTAGATTCCTATGCTATGGACGAGCTTCTTCTTTTCATTAAATTATATTTTTCGTGTAATGGGATGGAACCCTTTTTTTTTTTTTAAAAAGGCTGGAAATTAAAAATTTCTTGATTTTTTTTAACAAAAGAAAGATTTCTAAATGTACATAATAATGACAGGGTAGTTACATTAAAAAAAAACACGGAATAAAGAAAAGAGACAGGGTCGGTAATCGGTATGGTATACTGTAAGCTTGTTCTACATTCGCCTTCTTCTTCTTCTCCTTTTTTATCAATTTGTTCACATTTTTCAAGTCGGACAATATCTTGTTTAGGTAAAATTATATGTTCCCCTCAAGGTTTTAGTTGAATTTTGTTGTAGGATGATACCACCAGAAATCCTAAATTGTGCTCATCGTAACATTAATAATTAAGACTTTTTTTTATCACAAAAATTTTTTAATCCCACCCTCTCTGGCACTAATACCGAAAACCTATTTGTGTCACAAAAACCCTTAAACCTATGCCGATACGACAAAAATAAGTTTGGAGTATTGATATCGCGGTGCGTAAAGTTTATGGTATTTGTGATAGTTGAGGGTACTTTTGTAAACTTGCACAAATTAGGGGATTTTAGTAATATAAAAGAAAATTTGGGATATTGACGTTACAGCGGGTATAATTTAGAATTTAGGCGGAGATTTCCCTATGTTTTATATTCTCCTCCAACTTTTCTTTAATTTTTTTTTCGAAAGTACGCTATTTTCCTCTCTTTTTTTCTTTCAAATTACAACATTTCTCTTTCCAATTTTCCTTCCTCTTCGAAAAAAACGACATATTCTTGTTCGCACTATGTGGAAGAATGATGTTAAACTGAATGTTGAAGAGACTAGTTCCACGTTACATCTTTCTCTCTGCCTCTCTCTCTCTCTCTCTGCCTTCTCTTGGCAATTTGACTTTGACATGAAAAGGAACGCAACAAGGCCCTCCATCCAATCCCCATAACTTTAACTGGGGTTCTACTCTTTGCACTCGTTGTCTGCTGTAAAGCATTTCTCATGCAGTAGCAGTAGACTCTGCAAAACTTGACCGAGACTATCGTCAACCGATTTGGCAGATTAGGCAGGATTGTTCAGGATAAAAGAGGGCAAGCAATCCGTAAACGGTAACCGTTGTCATGTCTTTTTCTTTTTTTGGTAAGTCATTCTCGTGACATCACTGTGAGATGAAAGAAAAGTCGAACTCCCTAGGACACCATCTGCAGGATAAAAGAGGAAGTCGTTCATTTCGATTGCTTCAGTGGTTGCATAATCTAACATTCAAGTCTTACAGTAAGAGGTTCTATCCATAAGGGGCAAATGGTAGGGTACAGATTAACTGCCTCAGCTTGTAACGAGGATGAAAAATCAATGAAGGAATATCAAGTAATGCGGGATCATGGACAGCCTTTAACCGTTGTTCTACCCTTCCAAACAGCCACTAGCCACAGCTGACTTATAGCATCAGCTGACGTCGTCGCCCAGATTCTGAAACTATCCTCTTGTCTTGCGTGCTTTGGCTGCTCAATTACATTTCCAGAAGACAATGCATTCGGTCCCTACTATCGCTGAATATATGCATTTCTTTGAGACACCCTCGCTGATAATGTCATGCAAATGGCTCCAATCCAATGATCTGAATAATTCTCCTGAGGTTGAGCATATGTGCCATTTTCACTGCATTTTCATAACAAAAATTTACATGCTTCATGGCTTGGTTGGGGTGTAAAAACTGCAGTAATGGAAGGGTGCTTTCTTGTTGCTCCAAATTCAAGCCTTAGTAGACTGGCATCTGAAATGAAACCACTTTCACTTGGGGAAATTGTCAGTAGCTGTATAGGAGTCAATCCCACATCTTTACTGCATATTGTTTGATTTCAGGAGCATCGCCTATACATAGGGGGCCCTGCGATGTAGAACAAGCTGTTCCCAATCTGATCTAATTCCGAACGTGTTCTCCTCGAGCCATCCTCTATACATATTGGTATCTTGAGGCAAATTGAAAGCTTCCCTACCCATATCTCAGAAATTGCTGTTTCATCCTTACAGCAACTGCTTCAATGTCAGATTGTAAAAGGACCGAGAGATAAGCAACAATTGTTAGATGAAAGTCTGAAACATATTTGGATGCAAGAGATCGGGATTCTTTTAGCAATTTATACTACAGGAAAGAATAAACAAGAAGTTCTTAGGCCGATTTCCTAGAAGATGGGATAGAATTATATACTTCTGACTTCTAATGAAAACATTATTGTCCCAACATTGGTGAACACTTCAAGAGCTTAACAGTGAAGCAGAACCTCCAGTTACCAAAGCAAGCAACTAGAGATCAATCTCGTGTTAATATCCCAAATTATACTTAGAGCAGTGCACATTGCACATCTTCAAACGGAGACGCTTTCAGTTTCAGATACGATGCAACAGCACTTTCCTTGGGCCATCCATTGCAAATGCCAATGCATCTTTTATTTAATGTCAAAGCTCCTATTTGAAAGATCATCAACGTCTGTGCCATTAACTATTTTTTATCAGCAGCAGTCGTTACCTTTCCATTAGGGATGAGGATATTGGCAACTGCTTCAACTATTGAGCTTTGAATCCTCCACCGATGTTCTGGTTTGTTAAAGTCAGGGTTTGGGCACCAGATAGAACAGAGGCATCAGACAAAACTCTGTATAAGCTGCACAATCCTTGTTATGCGCTTCTCATAGACATCGATTCAGGGCAAGTTAGCGTAATCTAGTGGTGCAGGTCCCTCCATATTTGGACCTTTACAACATCCCACAGTCATCACCACGCGATGCTTTTCAAAACGTAGCATAATATCGTTTTTTATGCTACTCTGCATCAGAATGTGAGCAACACAATCTTTTCTCTTCCACGCTTTGATAAGCCTCTAAGTCATGCTTATGTTGTTCCGTGTTTACCATTTCAGGCTCTTGAATTTCAGGAAATTTTACAATGCCAAACATCGTAATTCTGCTCATTCAGTTTGTCATCCTGATTGAGGTCGTCAATAATGCTCTTGGTAGCAGCCATAATGTCTCTAAAAAGACACAATAGCAGATAATTTTATATTAGCACAACATATTAAAAAAGTATTTTGCAGCAATTCCTTGAATTATTTGATATTAATGTTCATACATTACAGAATCGAAAGAAGCTTAATACACTTCAATCATCTCCCACAATACGGAAAATGACACAAATGGTCCCTAAACTTTGGTACAACGTGCAATGCCATCTATGGACTTTCAATTTGTTCGATGTGGTCCATGAACTATTCGAAATGTACAATTTAGTCCTTAAATTATATGAAAATAATGCAAAGAAAAGGACTACATAGAATATTTACCAATAGTTCAAGAACCATATTGAATAAATTAATAGTCTAGAGACGAAATTGAAGAAATTTTCTACCAAATGATGTAAGAAAAAAGAACAAAAATTGTTCTCTACTGATATGAAAGTCTAACGAATCAAACTCAAGGTCCTGGTCTGATATCATGCCGAGTCAGTATTACTGAGGCCTTGGATATGTAGTTTTCCTTTGGATCGCCACACACATTCTCTGCTCTGTGTTGCTGCATCTATCCCAAATAGAAATCTGAAATTACAAGACGCAATGCTCAGTTGTTCGCCCCGTTACTTCCTGTTTCAGGGATGATCTTGGTACCCTCATAGTCATCTTTCCTGCTTGTTTAATCAGGTAAAGTTTTCAGAGCTCACTCTTGACACTTTCAGGATGCTTCAGCGTTTGGAGTGGGAACCAAGTGGCTCATTTCACCAGTCACTGGAACTAAACTTGGTGCTTCCGCACGTACTCGCATGAACCACTCTCTCAGGGTAGTGTTGATCATACTTTGCCTCCAAACCAGGGAAAAGCTGTTTTATATCGACCATCAGTGGCCCATTTTGTGGCAGTTAGTATATTACAGAGCCTAAATCCCCTCACGCATGCACACAGCCCAAGAAAGAAAAAATGATTAACCAAATTAATAGACAAAAAATCTTACTGGAATGCTACGAATGGAACATGTGATCCATGTTCAATCATGTTGATATCCAAAGTAAAGGCAGCCTGAAGCACAAGTTAAGATTTGGTTTGATTAAGTATTACAGATACTTCTTTTTCATGTCATCACGTTGAAGTAGAACGTAGAGGAGTCATCATTGTCACGCAGCAAGTATCGTGACAAAGTCGCACCATTCATGCAATATACCTAGTGGTTATAAACCAACAATTTCCTCGATGATTTATAAAGCCTGAGCCAATTGTTTAGCAGTGATGGGGAAGCCAACTCAGTTCCCATCCAGGCAAAACATGACCATACTCCAATTGTAGTTTCCAAGCATGAAGTAGAGAGTGGCATGTAAGCTAAAAATATGTTAATCACAGTAAAGCTTACTCACTAGGGGCAACTTGAAACAAGTATCCACACTTTGAAATACTTATTTGACATACAAACAATTGGAAAGCGGCAAAGCATGCGTTTTCAGGAGGGTAATTTTTCATACTTCGTTTGTTCTGATCTAAGGACGAGATGAATTACGGTCTTTCACTACCACATATAAACTGCAA